GGGTCCCCTGAGCGAATTTCTGCCACGTTCGGCCACGCCCCTAGCTGCCGCTGCGAGATCTCTTCCAGGCGGTTGGAGGCGGGGGAAGAGGGGCGTTGTTGGCGGGGAAAGCGATTGGGGCCGTGCCGAGGTGTCCTAGCGTTTCTGGGGGGGCGCGCCACGCTTGCTCTGGGGGCACCGCGCAGCCACGCCGCCCTCGCTTCCTTTGCCACTGCCGCAGCTGCTCTTCAGTGCCAGTTTCCTACCCTAGTTCGCATTCGCCCATCCCCACGTCCCTTTTCCCGCGTGCCGCCATTCTTTTGCGCCGCTGCCAGTTGAAGTTCGATGCTAGGCGCAGCGGGCGTCGACGGTCGGCCGCCGCTGGCGCCGCCTCGCCTTCGCGGTGGGATCAGGCAACGTCGGGATTCCCGAGGGTTGCCCGCAAGGGCGCTGTGTTCGGCGTTTCACAGTCATTCCACAGCAGCACCGTCATTCATGGGGCGCAGCAGTTGCCAGCCGCGCGCGAAGCTGCGGAGGCTGCTTGCGCGTCGGAAGATGTCGCAAGCGTTCCAGGAGGTCGCAGAGCGGCGCGGCGTCGCGCGGGGCAGCGCGGGCGCGAAGACAGCAACGCGCGCGGCAAGATAACCGCGCGCGGGTCGGTTATTCGGTTTGCATCTGGCGAAGCCGAGGCGGCGCAAGGTTGCTTGCCAGAAAACAGCCGACGCCGCAATTCGACGGGCGCCTCCGCGATCTTCCCCCCCACCCACCCCCCCACCCCCCACCCCTGTGGCGGCGGGCCCCGACGGCCGCCCCAGCCCGATCGTTCACTTTGTCTCCGAGCGCGGCAGCCGCCAATGGCAACCGTTCGGGGAACGCATGAGGCAGTGCCCCATGTCGCCCAGGGTCCACGCAGCAGGCGGCGGCGGCCTGGACTCGGCACTGTAGGCCTGGGGCGCTTGCAGAGCGACAGGGGCATCTTCTGTAGCAAAGAGGCCGCTGTTTCCCGAGCGGCGGTGGCCCGTTACGTTTGCGTTGCCATGTTCAGCGGCGCAGCGCGATGTTTCGTTCCAGAATAGCGTCCCCGAATGGCCACCCCGCGGCGGCGGCGCCCGCGTAGCCTGTGGAGGGCGGTTGAGGAATTGGGAGGGAACGATGCAAATGATGGATGGGGGAGGGAGAACGGGGGATGGTGGCGGCGGCGGTGGCGGGGGGGGGGTGAGGAGGAGGAGGAGGAGGCGGGGTAGGGGAATGGCGACATGCAACTTGGGAGGAGAACATGGAGGAGGAGGGTGAGATGGAGGGAGGGGGGCATGGGGGAATGGGGGGATGGATGGGGGTGGGACGGGCGGGAGATGGGCGGAAGAGCGCGAACCACCGCGCCGGTTTGCTGAGTTTTTCCTCACGGCCGCGCAACGAAAGCCCCTTGCCTTTCCTGTTCGCGCGCCCACGGTTTCGCATAATTCTCGCAGCCCCCTCGGCGATTTCTGTGGCCCATGGCATTTGCGGCTGCGTCGGCCGCACTCATGGTCTGCAGCCTACCTCCGTGGCGCCGCGACATTCCCCCTTCCTGTTCGCCGCCGCGCCAGCGCGGCTTGACCGAATCGCGGGCGCCATGACGTCGGCGCGGGCGCGGGCCGCGCTCCGTTCGGTGGAGGGTGGCTCTCCCGCGTCTGTCAATCGCGCGACCCAAGACGGCGACGGTCGCAGTCGGACCGCAGCCGAACGCGTTGGCGGGCGGCTGCCCAGCGACGCAGCGGACGCCGAACAGGGGGGGCTTCGGGTGGCCTTTTAATTGGGCGTGCATCGGGCGGGGTCCTCCTCCTCCTCCTCCTCCTCATCCCCCCCCCCCCTCCCCCCCCTTCCTCCTCGCCCCTGCTCCCTTTCGGTGGCGCTGCTTGCGAACAATCGGCAGGTTGTTGTCGCGCCGCGGCTCGGCGCGCAGCCAAGGCTGGCGGGGCCCATTGGCGCGGGGTTCTCACTTCGAACTTCGAGGGCCCCACTGCGCCGTACTCGGGGCCAACCCTGATGAGACGGACTTGAACGTCTGGTTGAAGCAGAAGTTCTGGCTCGCACAAGAAGAAGACCACCACGGACGAGCACTGCGCAGTGGAGGACAGTGAGAAGGGGAGGGCGGAAGCGACATCGATGGCGGCCGCATTCTGCCCTTCCGCCGACGCACTGGGCGGTCCGCCAGCGGTCGCCCGCTCCGCGTTTTGTTAAGCGTTGCCGAGGAGGCGCCGCGAAATTGGGCGCTGACCGCCGCCGCTGCGCGCCGCCCAGAGTCGCAGCCGCTTGCGCAACAAAGGCCGCTGCCCTACTCCGACGCATGGGAAGATTGGCAGCGCGTTCGCGCCGCGTTTGGGGGATGGGGTGGGTGGGCCTATCGCGGTAGGCGTTGGATGTGTCAGCGCTTTGGCGTCGGGCCAGCTGGCGGTGCCGCAGTTCTCCCATGCGAGGACAGCCGCGCCGCTGCACGCGCGAGGGCGGGCGTGCTGGGCGCACCAGGCTGCCGCGTCCAAGCCCTCGCCGCCATGGTACGGCAGGGGCGCCTCAGCTGGAGCAGGTTTGCCGCCACGTGGCGCAGCTGCGAGAGAGTCCGACTGATGGCGTTGCGCAAGCTCGTCGGGACGGCAGCGCCGCCGTTGGCGAGTGGCAAAAAGTGCAAGGCTGCTGCAGGCAAATGTCGCAGTGGCTCGGGTCAGCCACGCGCGGCGCTGCATATCTTGCAGGGATGAGGGGGGGGGGAGGGGGGGGGGGGAGTGGGGGAGGGGGAGGGTGGGAGCATTCGCCTCGGATCCAGCGTTGTATTGGGTGTGCCCATGTTCCTTATCTAACGGAGTCGTTGTGCGTGCTCGCGCCTTGGTCGCGCCCAAGCTCCCGCGGGCCGCTACGTGGGCCATGGCTCCGCCGCGCATGCCCGCTGCTCCGCCGAGAGCACCCCCCTGTGTGACGTATCGCGATTGCTGGCGTGCGTGCGCCTTTAAGCGTCGGTGCGCCACCCGATCGACCACGCCCGAGCGTTGCTTTGCGTCACCACCTCCTCCTCTTCTTCCTCCTCCGCCTCCTCGCGCGAGCGTTCCCGCGAAGGCAGCGCATCGCGCGCCCGTCGGCGGCTGCAGCAGGGCGCGCAGCGCGATTTGGCAGCGCGCACGCATTTCCATCGGCGCGAATTCCAGAGGCTTTACCGCCCACTGTCTTTGTCAAACAGCTTGCCGTTCTCTCCTTGCAACCCGCCCCTTTCCATTCTACATGGCTCATTCCTTTTTATTCCCTCTGGCGCACTTTCGCGCGCCCCGTGCGTTTTTGTTTCTCCTTCGTCAGCGACGCGTTTGCCCTCCAATAGAAGGCGTCCAAAGCCAAGCGCGCCATCATCTTCATTTTCACACGCGCGCGTTTAATGATGAGCGCGGCGGGTGTCACACATTGCTGGCGTTATGTCGTGGTCGTGCAATCACGTGTGAATGGCAGCGCGTGCAATTGTGGTTTGCGTTCGCGCGCGCGTTCGGTGACAACGTTTCATCTTGGAACGGCTCACGCACTCCCACTTGTAAGCAGCGCGCTTGCAGTTCATGGAAAACCATTGCGGCCAGTTGTTGCCCAGGTGTCGTCGTTTTGCTTTTTGTCCGGCTTTCGTTGTTATCACTTTGCGCAAGTCGTGCATGGGGGGTGGAGGAGGACGGCCGCGTGGGTTTCCCGACGCAGTTCCCTCGAGTGATTGCGCAACGGTCGTGCGTGTTGGCATGCGTCGTACGCGCAGGTGTAACGTGCGCGTGCTCATTTTGGTTTGCATGTACACTGCACAGTGTACCGTATTGTATACTATGGACATACACTTATTGAGCACGCACATGCCGATGTTATGCACTTACGTGCACGTGTACAATGTAATGTATTTCAACACCAGTACGTGGCTCCCTCCGTATTGTATGCCGTACCCCCCGCATGGTTTACTACATGTCATAGCCCCCCGTATTCGTAGTCTCTCTCCGTATTGTCTGCCGTTACAGTGAGTGGGGGAGGACAGGGCGGTTGTAGGAAGGAAGGCGGGTCTGTGCGTCTCAGAGGACAGGGGAGCTGTCACGATGTTGGTTTAGTTTTTGGTGTTTTTTTGAAGCGCGCAAGGTTTCAACCAGCGGCCTGCGTTGGCTGCGGGGCAGTCGCGGCCGCGTGCCTCCCAGCCCTTGCGGGGCTGACCCTCGAGGACCAAAAGCATATCTATTGGGGGGCTTTTTTTCACAGGTTTGCTGTTGTTGTTTTCTTCCTGGCTGCGGGGTGGCCGACCTTCCAGGTTCGGGCTCTCGTGGGCCCTGAGCGCTCCAACGCGCTCTCCTTGAAAACGGTGGCCCTGGTGCCTCTCATTTGAGTTGGACCTCCCGTGCGCGGCCCAGCCCGCAAGCCGTGCCTGAACTGTCGCCTTCGCTGGCTGGCGTTTCGGACCGAAGCGATTCATTCGTTTCAGAGACGACAGCGCCGTTTCGGCGCCACTCCATTTCATGTTTCCAGCGCGCGCCCTCGGGTGCGTCATGGCGCTGACGGCGGCCAGCTTGGCGGCTCACGGCGCAGCCTCCGCGTCCGCCAGCCCAACGGCCAAGGGCTCGGCAACCGCGCGCGTCGGCTGCGACGCTCTCAGCACGGACCCTGGGCCCCAAATGGTTGCCAAATTTATGGGTTTCGCTTCCGATGTCCTCCCGCTGTGCCCCCCCGCCGCTCTATCCACTAGATGTGTTAGGCCTGAGTTTGTTGCAACCCTCGCCCTGTGGGTAAAGACGTGGCGCCCCCGAAACTTCAATCCTTAGCGTGGCCGTTGGCACCTCCCGTTCCCTTCGCCCCTCGGTCGGTCGGTCGGGGCGCGCGCGCGTCCTCCCGATCGTGCCAGCTGAGGGGCGACAGGGCCAGGAGGTCGCCAACGACATGGGACCATCCAGGGTTGGCTGAGGCATTTGCCGACTAGGAGGAAGAGAAGGGAGAAGGATGAGAAGAAGTAGGGGATGAGTTTCTTGTGCCCGAACTCCCCAATGTAGGAGGTGAAGTTTGGCAAGGCCGCGAACGGCCAGAATGGCCATCTGTGCGAGCCTTGCGTGACAGAGGTTGCCAAACGGAGGATCTTCCGCAGCGTCGACGCGGCCGCGTCGGCGTTCACGCAGTCTTCAGTTCTCAAGGCCGAGTGGAAGGCCAGTCGTGATCTACCTGACGATGAAGCTGCTCCAAGCCAGGTGGTGATCAGTGGCACGACTGCTACGACGGAGATCTACGTGGAGTGCCTGTGCGTGAACGCGTCAGAGCTGGCCTACCTGGCCAGGCGCAGGATCTCCCAGTTCAACGTGGCACCGTTCAAGGGCTGGCCAGTCTCAGGGCAGCCTGAGGAGTGCCACGCGGTGATTGACGACTTGCCATCGACCCTCACGGCTGGCTATCGGCGGGTGAAGGTATCCTTGGGGTCAGCTACCCGCCTCCACGTGGTCCACGCCGATAGCAGACCGACTTCGCCATCCCATGGGTTCCTCACATTCCAGATGTGGAACAACCGCGCAGCCGAACCTTCTTGCATCTGGGGCGAGGACCAGCGCTCTCAAGGGCAAGCAGGACGCCATGCGGAAGAGAAAGTCTTTGGATGTGTATGATGAGAATGACCTCACCAGGAAGGTCGCGCGGCGTGCATCTGATCCTGCTGTCGAGCATGGCGAGGATGGCGATGAGCATGCAGACGACGGAGCTAGCACGATTGCTGGCGGCGCAAGGAGCTCCGTGACCGTCGCTGGCCCCAAGAAGAAGGGCAAGGCGACATCTGCTCCTTCGCAGCCGTCGGCCTCAGCAGCGGAGCAGTTCCCGCCCGTCGGCTTCTCGGTCCAGAAGGCGTCGTTCGATGCCGTGGCAACGCTGGCAGGGGAGCATCGCGCTAAACTTCCAGCTGGTTCCCCCGCCGATGGCAAGACGGTGGTCTCCGGCAGCGGCGGGCCCAAGCGCGCTGGCACCCAGGACTTGGAGAGTGCCTCGGCCGCTGGCGCTGGCAAGGTCTACTCCAGTTGCCCCACTGACAAGCGAGAGAAGTGCTTCTACTGGGTCCAGAAGAACGACTTGACGGCCATCCTTGCGAATAAGTCGATGGGCTAGGAGCTCTCGGAAGGCAACGACTGTTTGGGTGCTCTCGCTGGCCAGCGCGAGCTTGCGGGGGCGAGGTCCATCTTGAGCTCCCACATGAAGTTGGTCGAGATCGTTCATAAGGTGAAGTCGTCTGCCGTAGACCAGATCGACGAGGCAACGGAGCGGGCCCACCACGAGACGCTCAATAAGGCCAACGTGAAGTACCCGTTCACCCAGATGCAGTTCATGGTGCGCCGCAGGCTCAGGAAGGATTAGAAGACCTTCGAGGCCAGCTTCAGCAGCATCACGGAGGCCCAGGTGACCTCGTTCGTGGCCCAGGCGATGTGCTTCAACGCGGGCGGCGAGGTTCTCTCCGAAGACTTCGACCCGCTGTCGCTTTCGCTGCTGAACGGGTCGTCTACGCCCCACGAGAAGTACACGTTCTTCTACGAGTTCTTGCTCCAGGAGGTGTTCTGCGCGTGGATCTGCAACGATCTTGAAGCGTCCGAGGCCCTGTCTCTACTGGCAAGCGCGGTCCTCAAGCAAGTGAACGCCGAGCTGCGCCACGAGGCTTTCACGGGACATCACGAGACAGAGTCTATTGAGATCCGACAGTGCATGAAGATTATCCTGGCCCTCCCGGACTCGAGCAACGATGTCGACGACTTGCAGGCGAAGATTGAGGTTCTCAACTCGATCGAGGGGGTGGCGGGTCAGACGTCCGATGGCATCAGCTCGCTGATCTGGAATGGTTTGAAGAACGCCCCGCACCACATGAGGTCCATCGAGATGCTGAAGGCAGCCGTGCCAGCATGGGAGAAGCACTGCAAGTCGATCAAGGAGCAGGGTGAGTGGTTGGATCAGCTTCTGGACGATGAGCTCCGCCAAGACTTGCTTCTACCAGAGGACATCATTCCCACGGCGAATCGCCTGGACGCCGTCATCAAGGACCTACTTGCATGGCACTCGGCTTCGTTCCGCCTGAAGTCCCTCGACGAGTTCGACGACAAGGCCAAGCAGGCCGTTACGTTGACGTACAACGCCATCATCGGTTTGAAGACCGATGCGAACATCCCGATTGACCGCGTCAAGGCTTTGCAGTCCCTCATCGCCACCACCAAGCAGCTATTGCCCATGGACGATGACATCGCTGGGTACGCAGCCATACTGGATCGGAAGCTGGCGGTTGAGAACATCGTCGTCATGAAGTCTGCGGTGAAGGCCAGCATGGGGATCATTCTCACGACGATCGAGACGGACAAGGAAGTCGACCCAGCCAATTCCGCGGACTTCGTAAAGAACTTGAAGGCGTGCGGCAGGGCGAGCGCTGACACGGAGCTGGAGCTGCAGCTCAACAATATGTTCTGGATCTGGGCCAACTTCATCCACGATGACCGCGTGACAGGCGGCAGGAAGCGGGCGCAGGACGAGGCGGCCTTGCAGGTGGTGGCAAGCGTTCTCAAGACGACGGACGGGAGGATGGCAAAGAAGATCGTCCAGTACATCACGGAGGTCCGCCACCTGCTGGACGCGAGTGCGGCGGTGAAGCAGCTGGGCTCTACGGCGATGGAGATCGCCAAGCACGAGAACGTATTCGCGCACATCCAGGATGCCCAGAGTAGGATCACGGCGACCAAGGAGATCAGCGAGACCATCAATGTGCTTGCGGCCTCCAAGCTGGAGGCCTGGCTCCAGAGTCAGCGGAACGTCGGGCAGAAGGCGAAGGACATCAAGATGGTGGCGGAGGCGATCGGCATCACGGCATCGGCACCCCTGAATAGCAAGCATGAGGACTTGGAGAAGGTCGCGCATGGCGGCGCGAACGGGAAATCGTGGTACTTCGGCTTCAAGGGCCGCGGGATGCGGGCGCTCGTGCCCCATGGCATCTCCACGCTGCTCAACAACGAGAACTTCAACATCGACAACGTCCTCGCCCTGGCTGCGGACGTCGAGAAGGACATGGGGAGGAGGGGGTGAACTGAGCACGGGGGTCGGGGGGCATGCCATCGCAATGCCCCCCTCCCCCGCTTCCCTTCCGCCTCCCCCTGGTCTTCCTCCTCCTCCCCTTCCTCTTCCCTCCTCAACCCCCCGTCTCCTCCTCTCCTCCCCCTCCTCCTCCCCCTCCTCCTCCTTCCTCTCCTCCTCCTCCTCCCCCTCCTCTCCTCCTCTCCTCCTCCTCCTCCTCCTCTTCTTCCTCCTCCTCCTCCTCCTCCTCCTCTCCTCCTCCTCCTCCTCCTCCTCCTCCTCTCCTCCTCCTCCGCTGTTCTCCTCCGTTAGTCCTTACTCCTTCTCCTTGTCATGGCTCCTTCTTCTTCCTACTCCTCCTCCTCCTTCTGCCCCTCCTCCTCCACCTCCACCCCCCCCCCCTGGGGGTGGTCCTCAGTGCCCTGGCCGTCGGATCCCCCCCCCCCCCCCCCCCCCCCCCCCCCCCCGCCCCCCATTCCAGCAGGACCTGGAGCTCTACTTGGCGAAGGTCGAGGCGGTCGGCCTCGCGCCGCCTCCCAAGGAGTTCCAGGACGGGATCCGCAAGACGGTGGACGTGGCTAGGAGCCTCGAGGTGACTGGCTCGCTCCTCAAGGGCTTCGACACCATCCACGACGCGACCCTCCTCTTCAACATGGCCCGCAAGGCGGAGATGCAGCTCAAGAGGGTGCTCAAGGTGCTGGGCCCCGTGGATGTCATCCACCCGATCCTCTTCAAGAAGATGGAGCAGGTTCTCGCCTGAATGGCGACCGACGGCGCGGCGGCGAACCGCCGCAGGACGCGCGCCGTCGAGGAGGCTGCCGAGGGCAGCCATTTTGGAGGAAGATCGCTCCTCCGATGGTCGAGGAGCGAAGATGGCGAGAAGGAGTAGAGGGAGGAGTAGAGGGGGGAGTAGAAGGAGGAGAACAGGACCTCAAGGACAAGAGGGGGGGAGGAGGGGGAGGAGAAGGAGGAGGAGGAGGAGGAGGAGGGCACGGTAGGAGGTGAGTAGGACGGGGCGGGGTTGAGAGAGTGAGAAAGGTAGAGAGAGAGAGAGAGAGAGAGAGAGAGAGAGAGAGAGAGAGAGAGAGAGAGAGAGAGAGAGAGAGAGAGAGAGAGAGAGAGAGAGAGAGAGAGGAGAGAGAGAGAGGGGGGAGGAGGGCAAGGACGACTTGGCCGAACTGGGGAGGAGGAGGAGGAGGAGGAGGAGCAGGAGGAAGAGGAGGAGGAGGAGGAGGGGGAGGAGGCGGGGGTCTGCCTTGGCAATCCCCCTTTTCTGCTTGTCGCCCACGTTTATATTCAATCAGGCTTCGCCTGGCGCGTTTGTTCTCGAGAGTTGTTTGGCCGTGTTTGATTCCGCCGCCACTTTTTCTATTCGCGATGGCTTCGCCACTTCCGCCTGCTCGCCTGCTGGGCTTCGGCCCGAGGGGCCATTGGAGCGCTCTTTGGGCTTCTGCTTTTTGGGCTTTTGGGCATTGAGCGGCCGCTCTAGGCCGAGTCGGTCGCGCATCCCAGGTTCCGAAAAGGAGCCGCCATCCACTCGTGATCCAGCCTGTGTTCCTTAGCGGACAGGCGCGTGCGGCTTCTGATCGAAACCGCTGCTCCTCGCGCCGTGCCTGCCTCAGCTTCCCGCTTTCGAAGGCGAAATCTCGAGACCAGTTTCCGAAAAATCGTTGACCATTGAAACCACCATTTATTTTCGTGAAGTCAAAACCATTTTTTAGTACTTTTGGAAATATCTAGCAATGTCTTCCTCAGGGGGACATTACTATCATAACCCACCAGCGGCCCGCCACACACATGGCGACTTGGTTCAAGAGGGCCCGATGCGAGATCCAGATGTTCGAGTCCATCGTGGGAGTAGCGCACGGGGCAGAGCGTCGGCGGTCGCTAGGTTTCTTGGAGGCGGCCTTCGAGAGGGATCCCTCGGAGTTCCCAGACCACTGGGTCAAGGATCTGCGGGGAGAACTCCGGAGCACCTGGGTCGAGGAGCTACGGGAGCTTAGACGTCGGCTCTGCCGGGAGCTCGACACCGAGAACCCAAGGAGGGAGGACATCAAGTACATCTTGCTCATGCCGGATAATGGCTACGACCTGCCCCGAACGTTCGACCTCGGATCCGAATGCCTACTGCCGGCAGGTAGTTGTGCCCCGGCGTAAGGCCGCGCTCACGCGCCTCCTCAATGGGCAACTGAACGCCCACCTTACGAAGAGACCGCCGAAGGCGGGAGGGGGCGATGAGATAGGCGAGCCCCAGCCCTCGGCGCTAAGCGATGACAGGCCCAAGGCGGGGGCTGGGCCCCAGCCGAAGGCGGGACCCAAGGCGGGCGCCGGGGCCCCAGCGGGGACGGCCCCCAAGAGGGCGCACCCAGCGGGCAAGGAGTTAACACGCCAGGAGCGCACGCGCTCCGTGGCGCACGCGCCCCGCAACAAGGACAACGTCCCTATCTGCTGGGGGGCCACCACGCACATGGGCTGCTCGCGGAAGGCTTGCGACTGCCCTAACTCCCATGACCCCATCAAGTCAACGCGCGGGTTGGACTACACGGTGTTAATGCAGCTCACGAGGCGCGGGGGGCTCCTTGGGGCGCCCCGGATCGACCCCAAACAGGTGGATGGGATGATTGCGCAACTGCGCTCGCAAGCCAAGGCAGCCGAGGCCGAGAAGGTCGGCGAGGACCCATCGCCCCCTGCTGCCCCTGACTCCCAGAAGGGAAAGGGTCGTGGCCGTGGCAGCGGCTCGCGAGCGGCGGGCGACCCGGGCCCTGGGCAGGCCCCGGACGACTACGCTACTCTCCAGCTTACCGCGATGGAGTCCGACCTCCGGGAAGCGGTCAAGGGCCCCGACTTCGGATGGCTCGAGGACCACGACTGCCCGCGTGCGGCGGCCACTTGGGACGCCCAGCCCGCGGGTGAGGGACCAGAGCTTCGCCGCAAGCTCATGCAGGAGTTTGAATCCGAGGGCATCTTCGCGCCTCTGAAAGGGGCCAGCGAGTATCTGCAGAGCCACGTTCGCGGGCGCGTCCTGGGAGCACGCCTGCGCGGGGAGCGTCTCACAGTGGAGCGGGCCCTCGAGGAAGCCGTGGATCGCGGCCATCGGGGACTCAGCAGCGAGGCAGCCGACCTGCACGAGGCGCTCAGCTGCGCCGCAGGATACGTCTCCGAGGGCGGGGCCGAGGTCGGCCCGGTCGCCTGGGATACCGACGGGCTGATAGGTCGCGGGTCTTACACCTTTTGGGGCGGGGACACCCGCATCCAGTGGGACTTCCTCGACTACCGGGACCGCCTCAACCCTGCGGAGGAGATGGGCCGAGCGATGGGCCTGGAGGTGGGCGACACCGAGGAGCGGCAGTGCTTGTTACTGCACGTAGCTGCCGGGGTGCTCCTGCTACGCGCGGGCGAGGGCGAAGGCGAGCCCAGCCCGGATGCGGTGCAGCAGTTGGCCGCGACGTACCGCCGTGCACTATGGGAGGAGGCCCACGAGGCACTACGCGCCCTGGGCGACTCACCCCCGTGGATCACGGCCATGGAGGCCGATGTCCGATCCTACGTCCACGACGCGGTGCATCCGCACCACGACAAGGACTATCGCTGCCTAGCAGCATGCCCCGTCGCCGACCTCGACGCCGTCACGCTCCAGGTGCACCGCGCCAATGGCAGTGGGCGCCTATGCGTCGACCACCTGATGGGAACGGGTGTTGGCGCGGAGGATCGAGTTATCCCGCTCCTGATCTGGCGCGGCCACATGCGCGTCTTGCGCCCACGCTCCCACGCGGAGGCAGCGGCCCTAGGCCAGCGTTGGGGGCACGCAGGCTGCCTGTCCCGAGAGATCGTCAGCGTCGGCTGGCGCGAAATGCTCGACGAGGGTCCGGACGTCGAACCCACCGTCCCAGGCAAGAGCGCGCCCTGCACCCACTGCAAGGCAGCGGAAGGTCGGGCTGGCCGCGCAGTTGGGCGCGCGCCAGCTTCGTTCGGAGAACATCCAGCAGACGTCCAGGCTCGCCTCCTGGAGGCAAACGCGATGCCACTTCGACACGACCCCGCGTTCGCGTACGGTCTGATCGCCCAGGAGGTGTACGCCGGGTCGGGGAATTGGTCGGCCGCGCTTCGAGCCGAGGGTATCCGGGTGCTGGAGCAGATCGAATACTACGACGACCCTCTCCGAGAGTCCGGCCCACGGCCGGACCACGACACCCTCGACCCTGCTGTTCGCGCGCGCCTACAGGAGGCCGCGCGGACCCCCATGGGCCCCGATGTGGCCAACGTCTGGTGCTGGGGTACTCCGTGTGGCTCGTACGCCGACCTCGGGCTCATGGCCCAGCCCGGCGGGGCCCCGCAGGGGACCCGCACGTGGGAGCGCCCCGAGGGGGACGGCTCCAAGGATTTTGAGCTCGTTGGTAACAGCCACACCCAGTTCACGTGCGACACCTGCCGCATCCTCCATGACGCCGGCAAGGAGTTTCTCGTCGAGTCCTCCTGGCCTTCGGGCCGCTACCCCAAGATCTGGGACCAGGCCCCTATGCACGAGCTGCGTCGAGCGACCGGGGCCATGATCGTCCCGATCCACATGTGCGCCTGGGGTAAGGCTCCGTCCGATGCGCCAGAGAGCCGCTATCGCAAGGGCAGCTGGTGGCTCGTCAGCCCCCGGCTGTACCTGCACGCCCTGTTGCTGGCGCGCCGATGCCCACGCGACCACCGCCGCGTCGAGCTGAAGGACCACGTGCCTGGCACGGGCATTAAGCGCACCAAGGGGGCGCAGGTTTGGGCCCCCAGACTTTGCACCGCGTGGGCAAAGGTCCTGAAGGGAGCCTATCACCGCTGGTCGGTGAGCCAGCTGCGACGGCAGTTGGCGCCTATATGGGAGGATGGCCCGGGGGCGTCCCCCAATTTCGCCCGGGCGGAGGCGCCCGGGCGCCTGCAGGGCGTCGATTTCATTGGAATCGAGCGCCTACAGGCCTCGGGGGACGGCTCAAAATGCGGCAGGCTTAGCCCAGCCATGCACCGAGCACTGGCGGGGCCCCCTAAGCCCCCGTTGGGAGAGACACAGGGGGAAGGGGGAGGCGAGCGCGGGCAAGCCTCGCTCCCCTTGCGAGGACCCGGCAAGAGATATCGCGGAGGACCTCGACGGGTGCAGCCCGGCGGAGCTGGCCACGGTCTACCTGGCCTTCTGCACGGAGCACCCTGAGCATGACCCCGGGGCCATGCGGACTCTGGTTGGTCTGGGGGATCGGCTCCTCCAACGGACGGGGTCCCTGAGGGAGGCGGCCGCGCTGCTGAGGCGCGCGCGCCACGAGCGCTTGGGCAACCCTCTCCGCGGTGTCCTGGGGGACAAGGTTCGGCGGTGTTTAAGCCGAGAGCGCTTCGAGTACGTCCGGGAGCTAGCGGAAGGAGGGGCATCTGCGCGGCGGGGTGCGCCACGGAGGCGCGAGCGGGCCCAGCCATGCCCTAGCGTGCGAGCCCACATCGACGAGGCTTACCAGAAGGTATGGGCTGATGTGACGTGGGGTATCGTCTTGGTAGCTTCCCAGGCGGCAGAGGGATTTATGACGGAGCTGGTGGAAGCCCCCCTTGGGAGGGCCCCGAAGCAGCTACCGGACAGAACCCTATCGTCCGAGGGGCGCATGATCCACGCGATGCTCTCGGCCAACGCCGCCACTCATAAGCGCGACCACCCGCCGGCCGTCCAGCCACGCCATCGGCAAGTGGCGAGGACGGCGGTATGGCACCGCGCACGTCATCCCGGAGCGCGCCTTCTCTGCGCCAAGCGGGACGTCTCGCGGGCCTTCATGGTGGCTGGACATCGCCCCGGCGGACGTCGGGGACTTCGGCACTTCGCTACCGGGGGCCCACGCCGGCATCGAGGGGGACGTCAGAATTGTTCACCTAGCCATG